AGAGTCAACATCAAATACCAATCATTGTTGTTCTGTCAGCCTAAATGACCTGAACATGGCCTTCTCTGGTGCACCAGAGCGGAGCATCTAGATTCTAGATTAGAGGTCCGGATCCAGACCCACCTGCTGGCTAATCCGGACCCAACCTGATTTAAAACATCGCTGCTTCTCCCATTTGTACGATAAAGCCCTTCAGAGCGTCCCAGACCAGCCTAAACATAATACATATTAGCCAATAAACTGTGTCAGTCTGGGTTGCTGCTGCTTGCTGTTTTTAGAAACAGCAGGCAAACCTGTGGCAAGCCGGGCGATGGGAAAGAAGGAGAAGACGATGAGAAAAAGTAAAAGAAAGAGGACTGCTGGAAGAACCCCTGTGAACTAGTGACAGAAAAGTGAAATGGTGCTCAAAGATGACCCTGAACATTTTGAGTATGTTTGGTTCAACCTGCTGCTGTGAAGCAGGATTCTCCACCATGAACAGAATTAAAAATAAATATGGATCCAGGCTCAAAATGAGCACGTTGATATGTGCTTGGGAATGGCTTTGTTGCCATTCAAAACCAGGTTTAAAATTTTTGCAGAGCAGCATAAAGTTCACTGCTTTCATTAAGCAATAGAAAAGAAAAAAACAAACAACAAACGGTCAGTTAAGGTGTTTTATCAAATATGTGAATCATGAAATTGTCTATATACCAAACTGAAAGATTGTTGTTCTCTACTTCAAAAAACACTTTAGATTTTAAAGTGGAAAAATTTTCTATATTGTAATTTTTTTTTATTTATTTAAAAAGTCAATGTATAACATGGATGCATAAAAACTTCATTTTATTTCAGTGTTAAATTCTGTTTAAAGTAACAGATTATAATTAAAAATGTCTCTGGACCTTTACTGGTTGTTGTTTTTCTTTATTCCGACCCAGCTGATTTTTAATTGGTGACCTAGATTATCATTTATTAATCTGATGAGATTCCAGAATGTCATAACACCCTTTTATATCAGTTCAGAATAAACCAATTTAAAAAGAACTCTCTAACTATGCAACTGTGTCTGATTCTTCTTAAACTGAAACACACTCATGAATCACGTCTGTTTTTGTTTTGTTTTTTTATTTTTATTTTTTATCTAGCTCTTTTCTATTCAATTCTCCAAGTTTTACCTGTAGTGTTTCTGCTGTCATCCCAGAACTTTTGATCATTAGAGCCCTCTAGTGGTAAAAAGCAGGAGGTGCACGAAGCTTTCCAAACTTAACCTAAATGCATTTTATTATTATTCAAATAGCAGCAGAGTACATCAGCATCAGGATATCAAATTAATCCAGTCATGTTATATAGAGGTTTCCTGGTTTATGTTTAAAAATGGTTATTTAATGATAGTTATCATCCTGATATCCCAGCAGCTCCAGCTGAAGAGATCATAATATGGAACAGGAACAGAGCAGGGGAGAGGAAGTTCAAACCATGTATTTCCTGTGATCGTCATGGTAATGTTAGATATCTTGTTATCCTCTGGAAGTGCCTGGAAGCAGTTCATCCTTCATGAAGATATTCTCTTAGCTTTAGCAATCTCATCAACAGCTGCCTGCATACATACAAAATTCAGTGAGAATGAGTTTGGGTATAATGACAGGAAAATTAGACTAATGATACTCTGTCCAATTATAAAAAAATAATCTGCTTACTTTAATCAATAATTCAAATACAAAAAAAAAAACAGCTGAAATTTTGAGCAACATCCCCATTATGATTGAAGTGATTTCACAAAACAAAGCCAAATAATATTCAACAATTTTAAACTAAAGAGATTTTTTTTCATTCAAAATATTTTAGTATATTAGTGATTTTTGGAATGGATTTTTTTTATTCTTATTTTTACTGTATTGCTATAGTTGAAGGATTATAGAACATTGAATTTTCGTTCCTTTTTAAACTTAACCAGGTTCTAATTATCAAAACCCACATAAATGGATGTTGGTTTTAGGATTATTATGAGTAATCCACTACCGCTTTAAATCCTTTATATCCACCTCCATCAAAATTTTAAATCAAAATATTAGATAGATCTGTACACGGAGAAATTAGTTTGCAATAAGTTGGTGTTCTGTTTTTTGTTTTAGTATTGTATGTTAATTCATTTTATATTTATCTTGAATTCTTTTGGGGATGTGTTATGATGGTGTATGAACCTACAGGTGGGTTTTTAGCTGGTATTTGTTTTTTATGTTTATTTATTGTTTCTAATGCAGGTACTATGCACTGCACACTAGGGGACAATAAATTATCATATATTCTATTCTATGTGTGAGTTTAAGGTTTCAAGCAGCACATCTGAGATAAACTTAAAGGCACCAGAACCACTGGTAGTAAAACAATCCCTGAGCCTGATACTAGCACCACCATGCTTGATAGCTGCTGCTTTCTCCTCCCGATTAAAGCCTCACATTGCTTCCTGCAAACAAACTTGTGATTGGCACCAAGCGGCTTGATTTAGGTCTTGTCTGAACATAAAGCCTTTTTGCAGAAGCCGCTTGGCTCATCAATGTGTGCTGTGTTAAAGTTCCAACAATCTGGAAGGTTTACATTTAGAAAGATGCATGTCTTTCTGCATTGGCACATTTTAAATGCATGTGGTTTTTAAACTTGTCCAGTTGAATCCAGTTCATGGCCTAAGTGGTTATATAAAGAATATAAAATCCTTATTTATATTCTTGCTATCAGGGTGACAGAGTTTGGTTGTTTTTACAGATCTTAGCAATCTGGGCACCTGAAGGACCTTTTCTCACATGAACCAGTTTGATGACCCTTTAAAGTTGATCTAAAAAGGATTTAAGATAATTTTTTACTTGTTGTGCAACCCACCTCCAGATTCGATCTTGACCATTTCCTTTCTCACTGGTCCTTCTTTTTAAGAATTGGTCAATAGATCAGGTTTATGCTGCAAAGAGAAGAGAACCAACCTGCTCAATCATGGTAACTGAATGACATGGATATATATATGCATTTGGGATGCAAGGATATAAATATTTTGCAGATAATATCAACAATTGTTATGATGAAAAATGTATATCATATATACTTGTCTATCCTTTCTGTACTGTGTAAAAATAAATAAATAAATAAGTAAAATGACAGTGCTGATAATTGCTTCTTTGCTTCCGTTGAACGCACCACAACCCTGTTCTTCATCATCACATGACCAAACAGACGCCACACGACCAACCGCCTCTGAAAACGCAACCCACAACAAGATGCAAATCAACATAAATGGTTAAAATTGTCCCAGTTTTAAATTTCAGACCAATGCTGACATGTTAATGCAGCTATACAACCCATCCTTAATGGGGTTTTTTTATTTGTATATAATCTTGACCCTGTGAGAATCATAAAATCAAACTTCTGCACTGGAAAAACAATCTAAAAAAAAAAATGTCTTAAATTGAGGGTATTTACCCTTAATTTGATTAGGTAAATAAGATAGTTTGCCAATAGAATGAGCATTTTTACTCTTACAATAAGATGATTAGATAATATGCGTTGGAAATAAGACAATGCAATTGTGTTTTCTTATTCTAAGTGTATATTTTCTTGTTCCATTGGCAAAATGTCTCCTTTACTTCCTCAATCCAAGAACAAATGCACTTATTTTAAGAAAAAAATACTTATTTAGATTTCGATTTTTTTCCAGTGTGTAAATGATTGCATGTATGTCAAATCACTAACTGACATCTTTTGAGCAAAGTTTATTGAGTTTCCCCAGAACTTAATTTTTCTGTGTGATTTGGGTTGAGTACATGTGCAGTTAGAGAGATATGGGAATCTATGTGTGAGCAGCTGCAGGAAGATAAAACACCTGTGTAAACATCTACTGTATGTTCTTATGAAATACTTATGGCTGTTTGTCTCTTATGGTTGTAATCATAACTGCGATGTTGCTGTATATAAAGCTTCTAAGTGTCTAAATGACAGGAATGTTTCTTACTTTATGTTCTATGTTTCTCATCTTGATTCTGTTACTTTACTTAATGTATTTTAGTTAGTTCATCTGATTCCATGAGACAGAAGGACTAATATAGTAATCAGCCTTAGTTTTTAGGCAATTTGTTATGCAAAATGTGCATCTATGTCCCACTTGAGCAAATTAAACGTACCGGTAATAACAATTCGACCCCTGATGAACGGATGGTACATTCTTAGTAGGCTATAAGTGACTGAGGCTCTTCCTTTAGCCTTGTGTGGACGACTTAGATAAGAACTTTAATGGCCGGCCGGGGGAGCAGTGTGAGCTTCCCTCTGCTCCTCTGAGTGACATATACATGTCAGAGAAACGTATATACGTGCAGAATGAGGAAGTCTGTTGTTGGAGTGTATGTATGGGACATTGTCTCAGGAGAACCGTCCTGTGCAATCAGCAGCGTTCACACAGTTTGAGGCAGGAAAGCCAACTGTAAATTCACAAAGAGGAACTACTGAAGAGACGGTGCAAAACTTTTTTACACACACAATTCACACACACAAAAACACCATGCCAGAACGCCCCCTTCCCCCCTTTAAGCATTACGGTAATCTAAATGTTGTCTACTGAAAAATTGAGCCATTATTTCAAATTTACTGGTACGATAACACAAATGTCTGTTGTTTTTTGTTTTTTTTTGTTTTACTGGCCTCCTAAGATGTTGATTTTTTTCCTAATTAAGACAGAATGAGATTTGAACTCTTGAACCCTGCCATGAAAAGTCCAGTTCTCTTTTAGGCTGCAGTTTGATTGGGATGAGAAGCTCAGCACTTCCAGAGAATGCTGAGCATTCACTTTATTAGGCACCAACTTCTGAAACTTTTTTACACTTTAGTAAAACCTTTAAAAAGGTTAAATGTGTTAGAAACTATCTGCAGGTAAATTATAGAGTTAATTTTTTGTTTACTTCTGTTCATTACGCCACAGGCTCCTGGACACTGATCCTCATGCATTCTGGTTGTTTCAATATGAAAATAAAAACAGTTTCCTTTTAAATTGTGTTTATTTGCACATCAAGTAAAAACGTTTGGCAGTTTCTCAAATTCATACATACACACACGCACATAAACATGCATTCAGGAAAAGCATTCCATGCTGGCCTTTGCTCTCTCCATCTCATGCAGGAAGTTGTAAAATTGAGGCAGCGTCAGTTCTAGAGGAGACAAGAGAAGAAGATTAAAAAATGATGAGAGAAATGGTAATAAAGTTCCAAACAGACCAAATAAATATAAGGGATGGCATTTGTTTTTAGATGTGGTTGTTTGGTACACATCTCTGATTATTTTCACTTTTTTTTTTTTTTATTGGAACCAAAAGTTTATGTGATAATAACCCAACGAAAAATGGCGCAAATCTGGGAAGCAGAAGGGAAATAATACAAGGTTTTGTTGAAAATGTTTAAATTTGAAAATATCTGCTGTTCTTTTTTA